GAAAATGAAGGCTAATCATGTTTTGGGTGTACTATTCCTTTAAAAAGTAAAAAGAAAAGAAAAAAAAGCCCAAAAGCCCAGATTTGAAATCTCTTTGTTAAAAGCCAAGTCCATCGGGGAAGTCATCCTTTTTATTTTTTCTCTTCTTTTAAAACAATATTATTCTCATATTTAAGACGCTTTTATCAGGAATCTATCAGCAAATATGTTTAGCACATTGTATATATGCTCTCTCTGCTTGCCCTACACTTCTCCTACAGTGGGGAAATTCAGGTGTGTCAGCAGAAAAGCAATTAGGCAGTAAAGGCATACAGTATGTGTATATTCAGGTATATAAAATATGAAACAGAACAGAAATCCAATGAAGATAAGTATGTGTTTTCTTAAATGGAAAAGAAAACCAGACCAAAAAGGTAAAGTGTAAGTAATAAAAAGAAAATACCTCATGAGGCAACAAAGGCTGCTAGGGATTTCTGTTAAGAACAACTTGTACCTCATTTTGGATGTTTGTTTTTTTTTACTTGGAAGGTTGGTTTATGTCAAAATATCACTTTTTACTGCTACTGCAATGGAATAAGGATTTTACCCATCACTGGTTCCAATAAGTTCATCCTCCTCTTTATGTTGGTAAAAAAAAAAAAAAAAAATCATGGACAATTTTCTATCTGTTTTAAGATAGTTTAAACAATAAATCCTGGGTTTGGATTATGTTACAGATCCATTATATTCAGCTGTTAATTAGGTTTATTTAGAATACGTGGATGTGGATTGCATGGATTCCTTCAAAAGATGCTGTTTTGGTACCACAGTTTGAAAGTACTTCAAATCCTTTCGGAGATGGGTTAAGATTGGATTTAACATCCTCTGATTGAGAAATATCTTTGTTGATGGAGAACTTTTGAACAACTGTGGAGGAGGCAGCAGAGAAATCCATCACAGCAGATATAGGGCTGCATATTTCTCATCTCATCCCCCTTTGGTTGCAGGAAAATGGATAGACCGGCATGCCTGTATAACATGACTTTTTGAATTTTTTTCTTTTTACAGAAAGTAAAAAAGGAATAAATGGATGCTGAGAAACAGCTAAATGTTTTAAAGCTGCATTTTCCTTGACAGGCATACATTCAGTGAAAATTGCTTAAAGATCCAATTGTCTTCTTAATCTTTATGATAATATCTATTAGGGATCCAGGTAATGGATTAATTCAATTTAGTTTATTTATATAGCGTCAATTCACAACACATGTCATCTCAAGGCGCTTTACAGTTCACCAGATCATACAGTCAAACTGATTCAAAGTTTTCTATCTAAGGAAAACCAGTTGATTGCATCAACTTGTTTACTCTAATGCAATCCCTCACACTAAGCATGCTTGTAGCAACAGTGGAGAAGAAAAACTCCCTTTTAACAGGAAGAAACCTCCAGCACAACCAGGCTAGACTGGATTCTGGATCAGGTTTCTGTTCTAGCATGCATCTGCTCTGGCATTACTTCTCTTGCAAATACTAGTCAGACTCTGCTTAAGAATGAATAGCAGCACCTTCTAGTGGATAGCTGTAAAACTGCAACACTGAAATAAATGCTATCTAAGCAGATGCTATCAGTTAATCCCGTGAAACAAATAATCTAATAAACCATTAAACAATAGTTAATTTTTAGATGAATATTTGTTTATATCCCTATTAGGTATTTGGATTTCTGTGTTGCATAGATTCAACTCAGTTTTGCCAACTCTTTTGAGTGCATAGATATTGTATATTTATAAAGATTGTTGTCAGCTGTCAGCTTGCGATAGGTACTGTTTCAATTTGAACTGATACACTACCAATGCCCTGTACCCTGATATTGGTTTTAGAACTCAGCCGAACCAATGTTCCGTACCATGCTAATGTCTACTTAAACATTAGGCTTACCAAGCCGCAGCAGATAAAGATGATAATGCGGCCACTCTCATGTTTTTGCTGCAACATTGGTAACTGTAACGGGTGCAGGAAATTGTCTCTCAACAACCACAAGGAAAATCTTGTGCTTAACCTCCTTCCTCAGATCAAAACTTCAGGTCACAAATACTTAATCTTCTAATAAGCTTCATCATATATTGAAATCAGTAGCCGTCCTCTCATTTGCTTTATATAAACCACGCTTTCTTACTTTGGTATAGCAGCAGCTTCTGACCTCACCTTCATCATCACGTTTTTGTGCATGCAGCAAAACATGATCAATCAAACAATTCTTCCTGAAATGTGGCCCTGGTGTACATAAGTACTTGGGCTTTTTGGAAACCATTATTTATTGATCTAGCACAGGCAGGACTGTGTTCCCCTTTGCCAGATAGCGTTGAGGAAATACATCCATCTGCATTTCATGATTCTAGGCAACAATGTTGCCATGTCAAAACAATTTGGTTTTCGAAGGCCTAATGTATTTTATTTAATGTCATAAATTATCTGGGAAACAGAATATTTGGCGTTCAACAGTTGTTAGGAGAGATCATGCAAACTGCCAGAGATAGAACGTTATTATATGTACAGTTTGACATTGTCCTGTAAAGTAAATCAACGTTTTCTGTGATATTCTACTTCAGACATTTCTTCTATTATACTGTTATAAACATAAGGCAAACATTCACTTGTAAATATGTGTTGTCTCTGTAGAATGACAGACTATAAATGAGCATAAACATAACTTTATAACCCTCTCCAAATTGGCTGCTTTCTTTCCATCTTGGCACTGAGTAAAGTTAAGCTGATATGCCTCAAACTATGAACTAAAGACACATTTGCATTTATAGAAAGACCTTCACTAATGAAGACCAGTGTTTTATTTTCACCACCTACCTGCTTTTCTCCTGTCTTTCATACATTAATACAATTTTTTTTGTTTCTGTTAACTACTGGTCTGTTTGGGGATTGTTTTATATATTAATTCAGGATGTGCTCCAAATCAAATTGCATTTGCTTGGATTTGCTACAGAGAATACACAAATACGCATAAATTATTCCTGGTCTTCATCTAGGTAGGAGAGATTGTTGTTTTGAATTTAACTTGGGCCTCCTGAGGTTTACACAAGCGTAACATTTCAAAACAAAAGTAAATTCACATCCTGGCTACTCTTAGAAATGGCTGGCACGAACAACATTTCATCTCTCAAATATTTGCCACAGCAGCTTTAGTTCTGAAGCTCTCTGTCTGAAAACCTGTGTTGTAATGCTAGTATCATTCCTACACATGTTGTTCAGGATCTAAGGTGGAAATATCGGGAAAACCATTGTGCTGATGTTAACAGAAAGAGCACTGCTAACATGATGTAATGGAGATGTTTGTAAATGCTCCATTAACAGGGTGTTCTGTTCTGGATTTTATTGCATATTCATAGCCACAAACATATCTGTGGTTTGTTTCTACTGCATCTATGTGTTTTTATGGAGAAGCAAATTCTGTGTATTGTGAGAAAGCCACTGAGACTCCTATAAGTCAGTGGTTCTCCTTCCTCCTCTTGAAGTACCCCTGTCTTGCATGTTTAGTTGTCTCCTCACTGCCACACACCTGACTTATGAATGCTAACAGGCTTCTGCAGCACTTAATGGTTACCAAGAAGGCCATGCAATCATTTGAATGGTGCAGTGGAGAGAAATCCAAAACATGCATAGTTGTGGTACCAGAAGAACAAGATTGAAAGCCAATGTGTTTCTTATAAATACACAAATGATTGTAATCCTTTGCCTGTATTGTAAAGTTGTTGTTTTTTTCAGTGTAGCAAGATCTGTCGGAATGTCTTCTTGTCATTCATGATTTTTTTTAAGTTTAAATATTTAAATATAATTGCACTTAATCGGGAACCCAGACTGAGAATGAACAGGGTTTAGGGTAAAAGTCACGCTTTTAAAAAGTCCCCTCTAATATATTTGAAAAAGTTGATTTCATGTGATTTTCTTTTCTTTCTTCACAACTTCTTTAAATACCACTCTGTTTATCTGACATATGTTAAGATCAGACAAAGAATAAATAGAAAATGCAGTCTTAATCATGTCAGGTATTTCTGGAACCGAACAAATCCAACCAATGTCCCCCTTGTTGAGTTGGAATTCATTTTGAGTCCTGTTCTTAAGAATAAGCCAAGCTCATAATGCTGCTGAATTTTAAAATAAAATAATACAAATAGCACACAACAAGGCTTCAAGCTTTTATTTGCCTTAAAGAACCCAAATCAAAGAAAGCAACGTGACAGAGCAATTGAAACAAATAGAATACACAGCCATTTTTGGACCTTGGTAATTTCTGGTAAGTGCTGGACTTTTCCAGAGGTCACAGGATGACTAGAATTACTCCAAGAATGTATTGATGACCCATTCAGGAGATTAAAAAAATAACATAGAATGAAACACTGCTGGTTGCCTTATTAAAGCTCATGAGCCAACAGTAATAAGAAGGAAAGGCTTTGGGCTCTTACTGATCCCTAAGGTGGGGAAAATATCTTTTGGGCTGACAAGAAATTAGTGAAAGAGTTTGGAAGGTGTGCGTTAGAAATATTCAAATGATTCAAGCACAGAAAAGGATAGTTTGAAAACTTTCAGCATTTATCAGGTTATTTTTGATATTGCAAGTGTTTGATAATCTCAAACATTAAAATATTGGCAAATGATATACAGAGGGAATTTGAAAAGTATAAAACAAATTTTCACTGCACTGCATGTAGCAGGTAGGAAGAGTACAAGATAGACCAAAAAAAAAAATGGACTTCAGCTTTTGTAGTTGTTTTGTTTGTAATTTTTAAGGTTTCTCAGTTCAGTGCTTGTGTCAGAAAAATTCTAACTTTAAAGCCATTTGGGATGTTTCCTCCCAGTCTGAAGCAGTGGATGGATGGTGTTTGCTCAAAAGAGTTTAGGACTCTGTTTCCCACTTACTGTAGTCATTAGAGAATGCCCTCATTTGGTGAATTGGAGACCATAGCAAAGCCATGCTTCTTTGTCCATCCATCCATCCATCCATCTTCTAATGCCTAGTCCTTGTCGGGGTCGCGGCCAGTGCCTATTTCCGGCAGTCAATGGGCAAGAGGCGGGGTACACCCTTGGACAGGTCTCCAGTCTGTAACAGAGCAACACAGAGACACACAGCCATGCACACACACACTCTCACCTAAGGACAATTAGAGCCAATTAACCTAACAGTCATGTGTTTGGACTGTGGGAAGAAGCCAGGAGAGAACCCATGCATGCACAGGGAGAACATGCAAACTACATGCAGAAACACCCCGGCCTGGGAATCAAACTCAGAGCCTTCTTGCAGCAAAGCAGCTGTGCTACTGTACCGCCGTGCAGCCAGAATGTCAGTTTACTTAATGAGGACATCAGACAGAGACCCAGCAGGGAACAGATTTGATGTTGGTCCTCTTGTTGAAGCCTGCATCCGGATGAAGTAATCTTTTGATTATTTCCACTTCATCACATGTGGATATACTAACAGAAGTCAAGGGGTGTAAAGCGATGCCAGCCTTTCTTCTGGAACAAGCTTCAAATGTTGAGCTTTGTTTGCAAACTCCAGGGAGTTATTTATGTGTTTACACAAAGCCACCCTAAAATACCAGCCAGGTGCTCCGCAGTGTTTTATGTTTCAAAATTTATGAGGCTGATGATAGGTCTGAGTGATGTTGCTTTTTTGTGAATTTTGGGAAGTCCATAAATGAGGTGTGTATTCCCCTAGGCGCAATCAAGGAGCATTTAACTGTTTTGTCCCCTACAAGTTCCTGCAAGTAAGTGTTGGTTGGGTTCCTCTTCATTCTCAGATGTTGTGCAGTAGCTCTGTTAAAGCAGGTGTTTTTCTTTGTATTATGTACTGTTGTGAAGCTCAGTGCACCTTGTCAGTTGTATAGATTTTTTTTCCTAATTGATTTATATTATAATTGTTCTTTACTCTTGTGTGCCATTGGAAGGGGGTGGTTTGTCACTATGGATGATTGCTGTTACCATCATTCCAAGTTCTCCTTATTTCTGTCAGGTTGTTTCTAATAGCAGCTTCCATGGTAATATTTAGTTCCACAGCTGTGATTTTTGTGAAGAAATAGCAAATGTTCGACTTTTTGGCAACATGTCCTTTTGTGGTTATAGTAATCTTCTGTCCAACAGGCATCGAAACAACTGCCTTTGTCATGATGGGTTTCAGAAAAGCCCAGTATGCAGAACACCACGGAAACGGATGAAAAGTTTAACAAGTTTTATTGATCACAAGCACATGGAATAAACACAGGAACTGNATACACTGCTGATCAGTACGACAGAAGATCTTCATCACCTCATCATGATTGGAGCAGATGTTCTCCTGGAGCTTCTTAGAGGGGTCCACCAGTTTGTGCTTCTTTAATGGTGGAGCATTGTAGTGAGGTTTCAGATGGCCTTTACAATAAGATGCCAAACAGACCAGACAGGACTTAACAGCCTTCAGTTTACTCTCAGTGCAGACGTCACAGGCCACATCTTCAGGTCCAGCATGGCAGTCATCAACAGGAGTAAGGTCTGCCCTCTTCAGATCTTCCACTAAAGCAGACAACACAAAGTTTTTCTGAAGAGCAGGCCGTGTTATAAAAGTCTTCCTGCACTGAGGGCAGCTGTAGATCCTCCGCAGATCATCTTCTCCATCCCAGTGGTTCTTAATGCATTTCATGCAGTAGCTGTGTCCACAGGGAATAGTCATTGGATCCTTCAGTAGATCCAAACAGATGGAGCAGGAGATTTTTTCCGCTTTCAATTTGGTTATTCTCTGAGCCATTTTACCTTTTTGTAACACTGACTGTCAGATCATAAAGGTGTGTTTTTATAGTAAATCTCTGGAACAACTCCTTTGTAGATCTATGAGAAAGAACAGAAAAAACATGTATGTAAATAAAATAAAAAAAAGTTTACTTTTAATTTAATGGGTTAACATTTATAAAATTATTTAACATTATGAATTGCATCAGATTAATAGTAAATGGGGATTTTATGCTACAATGGGTCACAATTAATACACAGATGTTCTAAAAATAAGTTTAAAATAAAACAACAAACCCACTGAACTTTGTTTTCCAGGTTTGAAACATCTTCAAACTTGGAAACAAAGTCCAATAGTTGGGAATAATTAAAGTGGTAAACACTGTATAACAGTGTTTGGTTGTAAATAGGGTTATACAGGAAGGAGAAACTCTAATTTAATGCTCTTTTAATGTTCTTAGAAATAGTTTGAATGCCATCAATAAGTACCAATTACTCATGGCGTGATTTTTCCTCTCCTTGGGGAGAGAATTCTGCAGAGCAGCAGCTGGATGATGAATTTAATCTATACTATAATACACGCTAGATTAAAAATGATCAGTCAGGGATCTAGAAAATAATAATAATTGTATGCGCACCGTGTAAATATTACAAT